ATGTGTATAAGTTTGATAACAGTTCATTGAATTTTGAAGGGAAATTGAGTTACATAAATCTGTGTATTGCACTATACTCCCTTCTATTCATAATAAGTGTCGTTTTAAGAAGTTGCACAATAATTAAGGATATTTTTTCGTCAATAATAACCCTCTTTAATGAAGATAGAGAATGATGTTTCAGGAAAAAATAAAGAGTGAATATGAAAAGACGTAGTGTATTTATTAGCTAAATGAGGGTAATAATAGAAAAATATGTACAAAAGATCAAAAACGACATTTATTTGGATAATAGTTGATAAAGCCAAAATGACATTTAAAAAGAATAGGAGGTAGTAGTATTTTTAATATTTGTTTGTACAATAATTTGTGACAGTGGTAATGATAGGATCTTGTTTTGAATCAAGGAATGAGAAAATTGGAGAAATTTTTAGAGAAAATTACACCCTATACAAGACATTTCTCATTTTATTACATAAATGGAACCCATTTGTAAATACTAGTACGGCACCCGCGCGTTGCGCGATTTGATATTAAATGTACTGATAAATTATAATTTAAACAATGACAATTCATTTACAATAATGTCACTTGTTGGACATTTGAAATAGTTATGTGTGTGTATATATATGTATATAAATCCGTTGTTATGACTAAATGCATGTTTTTCAGCAACAATATCACATATAACATTGACTTTTATCAAGTGACATTGTCTAAGACAATATAATAAAAATTATCATCCCTGAAATTTAAATAGTAGTCTCGAATTGGAAAACATGAAGGATAACTGTAGAACAAAAAAAATTTATGCGGCTAGAATTTCACCTTTTATAAAATAATAAAAAATCTAAAATATAAAAAAGAACTCCAATTTACCTTGAAAAAATAAAGACAAAAATAATTAATGTGGTCATCCACAAAATAGAAGTGATATTATTTGGCTTTGAGAATAGGATAATAATTTTCAATAAATAATTATATGTATAATTAAGTGTTTATTTTTAAAAACTAATTATGTTATTGAAAAAAAATATTAATGTAGTCTTCCACTTTCACATAATTGAAGATGAAATTATTTGACCTTGGGAATAGAAGAGTAAATTTTTAACAAATAACTATATTTATAATTAATTTTTTATTTTATAAAAACTAATTATGTTTATGGTTGAGTTACGTAGAAGTTAAAAAAAATTTAAGTGTAGTAAATGTAGTTTTGGAGGGGAAAGAATTATTATAGCTACTTAGTTTTTTATATTATGTAAGTTGAAAAAAAAAATCAGTGTGGTCTTCTACAATATTGAAGGTGAGATTATTTGGCTTTGGAAATAAGAGAGTAATTTTTTAATAAATAAATAAATATATATACATAATTAAGTTTTT